AATTATAAAACACTATAGAACCAGGAAATTTGTTTATATCAATTCTTATTATAAAAATAATGTTTACAAAAATCTTCGTTCAGAAGATATATATTTTAAAACTTACTTTAAACGAAATGACTTTACATCAATTATTTAATATAGGCCCAGAAATTATGAACTTGATACAATGAAAAAAATGCCGCTTCCTACCTTTTTTTTATTTTGTTAATGTTGCATGTGTTCCTGTGTTCCCTACTATCAAGTAAGAGAGTGTGAGTGAGAGAGAGAAAGAAAGAGAGAGAGAAGAGAGAGGTGACAAGTGTATAATATAGCCTGTCACCTGTCTACTATACATTTGTTGTTCTTTCAGCTTTGGATATTTTAATCACAGAAAAGGGAATGAGCTTGGGTAATATTTTTTAAAAGCATTTCATCCTTTGATAAAAATATCAAGTTTTGTTTTATCAACAAAAGTGCTGTAAATATAAAATTACTTGTTAGTTATTTGCTTAACATAAAAGTGTATTAATAAATGCAGATTTAATTATTTAAAATCTTCCAAACTGACGAGCACTTTTTCTTATTCTATATCGTACATTAGAAATAAGATTCTACATATACTATTTTTGATTCATGATTTCTTTTCAATTTGACATTTACGCTATTACATCACAAGACTTCGGTATATTGTCCACTGCGATCAGTTACTGGGGGCATAGGGGTCAAATACGGGTCAGCAGAAGGGGTCAAATAATCTGACTGTGTCTGTAATTTAAGGCCAGTATATGTTGATGATTTCGCTTTCTGGGAAACGACAGCATGGTCTGACTGGTACACAGCCTGATAATCTGCAATTAATAACATACTGTTTAAGCATTCATAAGAAAGTATAAGTATTATATTCATAAGAAAATGAATGTTAAATTCGAAGAATTAACAAACTCCTGACCCAATGTACTGATAATACGAGTACCTCTCTGAAATGGTTGTCTGTTGTATTTCCTGGAGAGGAATGTTGTATAGCTAGAACAATCATATCAAAAATATCAAAATTTGCTTAATACAAATTTTATCAAGATGTATATAGACTGAATATATCTATTTCTTTGTTATCTATAGTTATTAATTACTAACTCTACTAATTCATGTCTATATTTCGTTATATCAAGACACTTAAACACTTATAATGTGATCTGTACAAAAGCTCATATGCACGTTGTGATTCTCATAACACTGTACATATCAAGATCTTGATAACACTGTACATATAAAGATCTTGATTGTTTACATATAACATGTAAAATTATTGTTGTTGCAAAGTAATAAACTTTGACATAATTAACATACCAAATTTTAAAAATATAAATTGTAAAAAAAAAAATTGTGTCTTATACATTGGATAAGATAAAATGTATCTGATTAATATTAAAATACTTGTGTCTCGTTGATAATATTACAGTACCCATTTGATCCATCGTAATTTTAATTTGAGAATAGATATCTTGAATTAAAAGCAGCGTATATACGTACCTGGTAACAACAACTAACAGAAGAACTGCAATAACAACTACTATATGTGATGCTAGAAGTCCCATAATAAAACTTGTTATATTGCTCAATTTCTTATCTACGTCATCGCTGTCAAAAAGAAAGACATATATCTGTTATATGTCTTCTCTGCATCAAAATTTCAGACTGAGAATCTTAATTCTTTACAAGTTTTAATAACTATGTGATAGTTTTTTCCCTATCTTTGTAATTATTTGCCATTTTGTAAGGATTCTATGATTAAGGTTCAAATTATAATTATTACTTTCTAAAGATTTTAAAACCTCTTCCTCTCTTTTGCAGAGGGAATTAGAGAAGAAAAAGAAAAATTGATGATTTTGATCAACATTCGTAATTACTAATTAAGCTTCGTCACAGTGACTTACATGTTATACATTTGTATCTGTTTTATAGTTGGAAACTTGGACGTGTTTTCCTCGTTCACACCTTCTGATCAAAATAAATCATATTTCTTCATTTGAATTTTCAAAAATAAAAATGTTAAGATGCATGTTCACTAGTAAAAGAAATTAAAGATTTTTCGTATTAATACTACAAAAACAACAACAGTGTTCGGTACCTATTAAAGTCCGGCTTATATTATATCAGTGGTAAACTTTTCTGCATCCTATTTTGAAATCTTTCTAACATAATCATTACGTTTTAAATATTATGAAAGCTAGGTGTGTGTATGATCTTTCAAGCAGAAAATACCAAGCTGTATATGTAACAGCTACCTAGACATAACCCCGATTTCTTGTGACACTCCAGCTTGCATTCTGTCGGACACCGACCCAGACAAAACCTGCCATGGAAGCCATCTGGACAATCCTGACTACAGTTCTCGCCAAAAGTACCAACATCACATGCTGTAACATTACCAGTTAGAAGAGCTAGGAAGTGTTTGATATACTTTATAAACAGAACAAAACAGGCTTAATTAAAACACAGAAAATTTACCGATACACTGGCCATCTCGTAAAAAGTAATTCACACAACAAACGCCAGGCCTGGAAAACAAATGATGCACAGGAATTACATAATAAAATGTAACTAAAAATTTCTTTTTATGAAGGAATAAATTTAATAACTACCCGACTTATACTGTATAACTAGTTTGTACAGTTTCAGTTTTATAAACCGCTAAGCGATTTATTTTAAAAAGCGTATACTTTTACAGTCAGAGTTATACAAGTAACTTGGCTAGCTATTAAATTTATTCCTTGTAATTTAATTTTCTATCAATGTTTAAATCATAAATCGACTTTTCTTTTAAAAAAAAGTCCTAAAATTGTACAAATTTGAAATGTATCTTAAAGAGAATACGTTCTTGACGTAAGTCATCGTGAGTTAGGCAACACGGGAAATACGATATGGACAGACTTTTCTATCCAATCAAATGGTGCATTACAACCCAAATTCAATTATTGACAAATAAAAATATAAGCTCACCTGCAAAGGTTTGGATCTGAGGTTGTAGAAGATTGGATTGCATTAATGTTGAGAAAAATAAATACATGTATCACTAAAACAAGCATTTTCATTACAGATGGGTATTTTTGCTTCCTGATATTTCCAATGATAAAAGTGATCATGTTAAATAAATATTTTAATTATAGAAGGAAACAAACAGGAAGTATTGAAGTATACATGAATATCTAAAACTTGTGACAAAATTCAAGTATTAGATACTAATTATGTAAAAAAAAAAAAAGGGGGGGGGGGCAGTTGATGCTTTATAATTCTCCATTTCACATATTTTTACACGTTATATATACGTTTTTTTTTTTTGTTTGTTTGTTTGTTTTTTTTTTTTTTTTTTTTGTTTTTTTTTTTTTTTTGTGCAACAAATTATGCCAATTTATTTTGTCTTATATTTACCAAACTTTAAGGTTGTCTTATAATTAGGACATCGTTCAAGTTGACTTAAAATTTCAAATTTACTTATTTAACCCTCTAGACTTAGACTTAACAATTTAAAAAAGTAAATATATGTAAGTAAATATAAAGTAAATATATATTTCCTCAGCTTAATGCTGAATTTTCAGTATGAAAACGTTTGGTAAAATTTCAACAAAATAAAAAAAGAGAAAGATAACAAGCCATCAATCTAATAAATCAGAATAAATCATTTAAACATTGTAATACCAAGGATCCTTGAAAACACCAGAGGTGTTAATAAGGTCAACTGATTTATATTTAGTCAAAAATAATATACAGACAATTTCCTTGCACATGGTATGAAACAGTCAAGTAGGTCCCAACGAAAAGATATGCTTGCAGGCAACGTCACTCACTCACTTTATTGATTATAGAATTTGCACAATAATGATATTAAACAAGATTGTATACTACACTGTATGACAATCGAGATGTCTTCAGTTTTTCCATCTTTAACTTCCCTTATTTATGTAGCAATATTCCAGCATACCTGCATATAGATTTATGTCTCTTTTTTGATTCGATAAGGCAATGCTCTGAATACGAGGCAAGCTACTGAAAAATAATTTGATGTTAAGAGGATTTCAAAATCCCATTTAAAGTCATCTTTTCGAAAATTCTACGGTCATTATAATAATTTTGTTTGTAAATACAACCTATCATTGGGTCTTATTTTAATTTGTCTGACGTGTTCATTCCATTTGTTTTCAGACTATTTAACTACGAAGTACTCCGATCAATACATAGAGCTTACGTCGGGTTTGCACATGTTTGCTTTGCTCTTTATTCACTTTGCTTAATATCAATTTTTAGCATGATTATTTTTAATAATCTTCACATTTCAGGAATTGATCATGGACAAAATTTTACCCAATTTATATTTTTTTCTGTAACATTCTTGGAGAAAATTAATATGAATACATTTTGAGACTTCATGAAATGTAGGTCTTTCTTTAATCATGTCTCGGGAAATCATTTAAATATATGTAATTTTATTGCTTTCATTTTGTTTCTTCTAAGAATGAAGATGGGATATTTTATAAAGTTTAAATATTTTGTATTTCTGATGTTTAATTAATTTAATATCAGTTGATATGTATAACTTCATAAACTAATTTTAAGTTAATGAAAATTTGGATTAATTTCTAATCGACAAGGAACTACCAGTGAATCTCAGGGTACAGTACTCAATGCCTTGTTTGTTGTTGTGTTATAATTTAAACTAATGTACATTGAACACATTGAAACCTCTTATCTTTCAAGTCATGAAAACAGATGTAGTGAAATAAATTATATTCTTATCCACAAACTGCTCCTTTCTCCGAACAGCAGATTTCATTATTTTCCATTACACACAAAGAGAGATTTTAAATGAGTCACTGGGATTACGTAGAATAGGCTGACGCCAACTGTATGACGAGTCTTATGGCGAGATTCCTATATTTTACACTTGAGCGAACATTTACACATAAATCGTAACAGTGCACTATTTATTTCACTGTCTCAACGATCTATTTCCTAGCGGCAGTGACTTGAATCAAGGGCAGAGAACTAGAGTTCTCTTCATTTGACGTGATGGACGTGACGGAGATAGAGGAAACAATCGCCGGTGTCTGGTCATTTCACAGGGATGAGAACCTAGATGGATACCTGAAAGAATGCGGTAAGGAAAATATATTTCCTAAAACAAATTTTACTGTAATCATTTTACTTTTAATCTTATTTTCTATTGTTTCATATATCTAAGAATTTATAAGTTATGAAATCTAAAAGTTCTTAGATGTTTTTGAAGAGAGAAAAAGAGAGAGATAGAAAAAGGGAATTAGATAACCCGTTCTTGTGTAAATCTAAAAAACAATAAATGCGGCATTTTTTAAAAATTTATTTTAGATATTGCCATTTGTTTACATTTACTTCACTTAGATCTTGCCCTTACATTTATTTTATTCTATTATGATCAGGTGTGAATTTCATCTTACGCAAGCTTGCCCAGGCGGCCTGTCTGTGTATTACAATGGTGATATCTGTAGAGGATGGACAGTTACGGATACAAAATAAAGGCCCCAAAAACACAGACCACAAGGCTCACCTGGGAACAGAGATCCATATCACAGACTTAATGCATAATCCCATGAAGGTACAACGTTTTCTTTTTTTCTTTTTCAGGCGGTTGAACAACCTTTTCTAATTATTTGGTGCAATCATTTTTAAGACAGCAACTACATGTTAATATATTTGGAGCAATCGTACCAGAAGTGAATATGAGTGTAATTCTAAGAAAGACATGAAATTCCTGTAAATTATATTAGTTATTGTATATTCCAATCTTTAAGTATGAGTGTGCTCTATTTGCCGTTTCCTCAAACATATTTATATTTTCATACATTAATGACGATCTCTATCAATCGATTTTTTGTAATTTAATAAAACATCTCACATTGAATAAAGATTTGCATGATTTTAAATTCTGTGCACTCAGTAAATTCTATTATGAATTCTATAAAGCTAAGCTAATGTAATAATTCAACACATCAACCTAAATAAGATTTTATTAAAGTATTTAATTGTCCATGATTACACGTTTATAGGTGGACTATGAATAATAGCACTGTTGTTAGTTTTTATTTGATATAGACCTTGCGTAACGGTTAAAACCATCATAATTGTTTACTTGTTAAAATAAAAAAAAATGGGATGCCCGTGATTCATAGCAATATAATAATATCAGGTCTGCAAGCAAACATATTTCTTGATAATTAAATTTCTGAAGCTCCTTCGTCTCTAAAACTCTTGTGGTGTGTTGCTCGTTTAAATCCCTCTGTACTGGGCGAACTTTGCTTTGACAGGTCCCTATATAATTAAGTGAACGTTAAGCTGATATGTGTGTATTGTTAATTCACAGGAGGTACATACGTGGTCTAATAATCAGCTGATCACGATATCGAGACCAACAGAGGGGTCTAAAGCACTTCCTACAAAGGTCATACGGGAACTTGTTGATGAGCATTTAGTCATGGTAAATAAATATGTCAATTTAAATTATTTACCTTTACTAAATTTTATGAAAGTTATATATCGCCATACTGAATACTGACTGTCATTTCTAAATTAACGAGGACATGTATAATGATTTTTGCATATGATTATATTAAAGTTTATGATCATAAATATTTATTACTTGATAATAGTAAATACTTATCTGGATACTTAGTAATGATTAATATGATTAAAAAAAACATGTTTTAAATACACATATCCTAAATTAAATTTTCAATTTGTATCAATTTCTAAAAATTTCTAAAAATTTTATTGATATCTTTTGATATTGTTTTTTAGACTCTATTGGTTAACGATGTTGTCTGTAAAATGATTTATAAACGGAAATGTTAATCAGTCATTGGAGAAATTTACATAAAAGAAGAATCGGATATCAAAGATGTGCACATGAAATCAGTGAGTACTGTCCAGCTGCCATATGTGATTGTCAAGCTATGGAACGTATAAAATTGTATACAACAAAGTCTGGATACTTGATTTCTGTTGTGGTGGATGTAACAGAATTGAATGATGTGAATGTTAGTGATGAAATATCCCATGTGGCGGATCCAAGTACGTGTAGCAGGGTAAATGGAACGTGCAACAATTTTTGTGTCCCACGTTATATGTACAACAAAAATGGTGCTGTATTTGTGATAATTTAAGAGATATTGTTACATATTTGAGAAAAAATGCTCTGTAATAAATGTCAGATAAAGATTGAGAACGGAATAACAATCTCAATAGAGAATTCCTGCAAAAATATGCCTTCAAAACCTTCATTTCGTAATGATCATTTTGTCTGTTTGTTTAGTACTATTCTCTGCTAAATGTTCCAGACAATAAAAATTGGTTGATATCTTCGTGTTATTCCGAAGTAAGATTTCATTAAACAAATTATGCTTTGGGTGATTGACGTCAAAATTACAGAAATGGGTTTACTAAATATAGACATAAAAATGTTTCAAAGACAATACTAACATATGTATACAAGAAAAAGATATTCTTTTGTTTACATTGGTTTAAATAGAAATGACCTAACACCAATGGTTTAAAGTGGCGAAAAATAGATGCATCATTTAAAAAAGAATAAAGCAATCCCGTTCCGGTTAGGTTACATATTTAACACTACTGTGTAGAGCGTTTATCTACCTTAGTCTTTATTGTGCCCCATTGTCAATGATCTCTATTTGATGCATTTAAACTTTGTTGTAATTATTATTTATAGAACTGAAAATTTTCAGTCATATACATTGGTGTCCAAAATCTGGTCTTCATATCCCATGGAAGGAATTCAATATTACATTTATCTCTAGAGTAAGTAAAATGATATATTTAATATATATGATATATGTAATATATGTGTTACTGACATGTTACAAGAGATATGTCTTTGAGAGAACTTGAATTAATCCCAGGACGAGTCCAAACGTGTTAAAGTTTGGTTTTTTTTTTAATGTTAAAATGAATCGGGGATTTTGATATACATATTAAAAGAAGATGGAAAGATTTTAATGATTTAGAGGTAAATTTAACCAAGAACCAATCATTGTCAAGCAAAATCCTGATATTTTTTTATTTGTTTTTAATTTTACGTGCACTTTTCCTCTATAATATACAATATATAGCCTTAGTTAATGCAAAAGGTGCATAAAAAGGACAAAATAATCCAAAAAAAAATTCTATTGATAAAGAAAATGAATATTTTGGAAACGTTGAGCATCCATTTTTTACGAATTCTCACGTAATCAACTATCATAAAGTCTTGTGTCCTGCTTTTTCAACACATCTAGGGCAACGGGGGGGGGGGGGGGCAGTTCGAGATTCATTTCATAGGTGACAAAATCAAATAATGTTTCAATCGTTTTTTTAAATTAATCCTGCAATGCATTTGATAGAGAGAATTTCTTTGACAGAAACATTCATAAGGTCTATATGCAATTTGATCCCTATGCAATTATAGGTATTCATGTATTACCAAATTCAAATGCTTTGGCAGATACAGGATTGTCCATAAAGTTCGTGGACAATTACATTTTTGTCAAACTGAATGGTCCTAGATATACTTCTTGTATACCAAGATATTTCTTAAGAAAATCCAGGACAGAGCAGTTTGGTTTTGATCATTTGAACTTGATATTTTCGTAAAAATCATGGACTTTAAGGGTTGCAGATATTGTGCTTTGCCCAGAGTTTAAATGAAATGGACATAGAATTAAAGTTTTCAGATAAAAATCAACACTTTCTTCATAAAACAAGTCAAAGCATAATTGAAAATTAATCGCAAATAAAGCGGCTTCATCATTTTCTGATACCTTTAAAATCGTTAAATTGGTAAGACAGTGATAATATTAAGAAAAAACGCAAAAAAGAAAAGGTCAAGGTAAAAAACAGTGAACGATCTGAAAAAAAAACTACAAACAGTACAAATCTGTGAACAGGGAATAAAACACTGACCCCCGGAAATTGCAGAGGTTGGTTCAGGTGCCTAGGAGAAGTAAGCATCCCCTGTCGACCGGTCACACCCGTCATCAGCCCTATGTATTGATCAGGTAGACGGAATATTCCGTATCAAATTAAGTATAAAAAAACAAAGACCTAACAATTGGTTAATACACGTTAGCAAAAATACGACCCAGAGATATGTTTTATTGGCTACCAAGGGCATTATAACGACTATAGAGTTTACTGACTTAAACGAGGTTGTTGAAATCCCTGTACATCAACTTATTTGTCAGTTGTCTGCCTTGGTTTAAATATTGGTCGTATTCAGAGCATGCTTTGGAGTATCGAATACGTTGGGAGACGTAAACTCAATATTGCAGATGATCATGGAATATTACTATATTTGGATATATTGAGTTGACGCATGAATGACCATGCATTGATAATTGATGAAACGTAGTAGATAAATAGAATTTTTTTTTATTCTTTTTCATAGGAATATAAAAACAGGTCAGCTAATAACAGAGCACAATAAGCACTTGAAGATCTTTTCTTTTAGACCACATATATATTGTCAATGAAGAATTCCAGCATCTTTTTTATATCAACTTCAGAGCACTTTTGTGTTGAATAATAATAATAATTTTATGCAGATGACCAAAGGCAAGATATGAACATTTATTAAGGAAGCAGTTGTCTATGTTGCCCTTGATTAGCTGACATGTTTTTTACCTGAAGTGGAAGTTATCCAAACACTTCATCATTTGAAGAAGAGAATTCTTCTTCTGGCCATTTAACTCAACATTTATTTATATGGACGTTTTATCAATTAACAATATTTACTTTCATTCATATTTCGATTCGATTAATTAAACAATATTTTATTATGATTAAACATAACTGGATTGGACAGCAGGCACTGCCTATATAAGTCCTCTCCACAATACAGGTCAAGTCATACATGTTACAAGTAAATATTAATTACATAACATTGAAAAAAATATATACATGTGAATATTCTAAAGATATATATATATATATATATATATATATATATATATATATATATATATATATATATATATATATATATATATATATATATATATATATATATATATATAAAAGAAGACAAAATAAGTAGGGAAAAAAATATAAATGAGCTGATGATACTATATAAGTTTGCATTTAACATATATGACTCATAATTATAATAATACAAGTATAAATGTGAAAGTTAATAAGAACACATAAATAGATGTTGGTTCTGTGGTTTGACAAAATTTAAAAAAAGAAGAATCAATATCATGCAAATCTCTTTGTAGATGCAATAAATTCTTGAACAATTTTAAATACAGCAATATTTCGGTTGTAAGTAAGATTATTGTCTCCATTCAAAATAAGCTGTAAGGATATAGGCATTGGTAATTGCAAAGTATTAAAGTTTTGCATAAGGTTTTGCCTTTGTACACAATATTTTGGACATTTCATAAAAAAGTGAAATGATGTTTCAGAGCTATATCTGCACATGTCACAATTTTGATCTTCCCTTAAAAAATGATTAAATAAATCAGCATTTAAATTACTAGCATTATTTCGCAATTGACAATGTAATATATTCATTTTACGACTTCCATAGTTGTAATATTTCTTAGGTTTTAAGCAGTATATATTTTTTATGGCAGTCTTGAATGATGAAAGTGTAGAAAGGTTTCGAATATTAAAGGGTAAATCATTCCAAAGTCTTATAGTTGAAGGAAGGAAACTTTTCATAAATGAAGTCGTTTTGGCTTGTGGGATATGAAATGTAAGCTTGTCCTGATTCCTTAAAGGATAAGAATTATGTGGTAAAATGCATTGTTGTAATAAATCTTGCAAATACTGGGGAGCTAATCCATACACTATTTTATAAAATAACACTAGTTTATGTATTTTTCTTCTTATTTCCTGAATCTTTTCAATGTTGGAGCAATATGTCGATTCGATACATCCCTGTGAACTGAAATAAAAGACACCATAAAGTCTGACATCTTTTTTCATACTTGGATATTTTATTGACTATAGACGATAATGGACAATTAACAACTAAATTATATGACAAACGATATGACTTCAACTTTTCTATCATAATATTTCCTTATTTATCTACTAATATCCCGCTATCATCGTTAAAAGAAAGTATTACATGCTGCATTCTTTATTTTAAAGAATTTAGTCATGCCAATAATGCTATTTCACACAATAGCATTTATATAATACAAGACGCTTGAGTTGCCTGAAAGTAATGCTTTCTTCCTTGACATTTTTTTTTAAATTTTACATTTCTATCAAAACTAAGAATACTGCAGCCTTAAAAAATTGGATAGATTCCAATAATTACATGTTCATGTTCTTCTTCACCCTACAACTATAGTCCTGCTGGACTGGTGACGTAAATATAGTTCATAATGAGGACCTTAAACTTAAATCATTAAAACTTATTGATTTTAAATGGGCCAAAATTAAGAGAACCCCGATCTTTGACCTGGCGTCAAAATTTCATAAATATTAAGAATTCTGTGGAAGATTACACTAGGCGATGGGCCAGACATACAAAAGAAGACCTTGACAAGATGTCAATATGAATTAAATGTATCAGATGTATGATAAAATCTCGAATTTAGCGATTTAGCGGCAAAATGAAAACCAACTATCCTTCTATATTCAATAATTCAGAACTGAAAAAAGAATTAAATAGATTACACGATCAGTATGTACTGGTCCCCTCTGACAAAGCAGGTAACAACATTGTGTTTGTTTGTAAGGCTCATTATTTCCAAGTAGTAATTCAACTTATACCCATAGCCCCCTTTCTAAAGGGAAATTCTTCAAAATCATATGTCATTTTTGATTATTTTTAATATACCCAACAACCAACATGAATTTAAATTATCATATCTATACTGGATTCCGAAACTTTATTTTTTTATCAATTTTTTCTGAAAACCTACCCACCCATAGAAGTAAAACAAGGAATTTATTTAGTGTGGCCATATTTGAGTGCAAGCAGCATTTGGTACTGAACCAATGACCCAAAGGTAGACTTGCATTGGAAAAGACCATTTAAATTCTATTCATTCATGAGTACACAGAATAACGAAATGATACTGGCAGACAAGTCGCCCAGTACAGAAAGGCGTCACTCTTTTGAGTCTATAAGGGATACAGACTCAAGGAGTTCATTCGGTGCCCCTCGGATAATCCTCAGGGATATTAAACATATGTCATATGTACAGTCTTCAGATTCCCAGTTTTGGTATAAAACCAATAGTTCATACAAAAAATTGAAAGAATGTAAGGTTTCTATTAGAGATATATTTGAAGATTCCTTTT